GGGTCACTTTTTTAATCAACTGTCATGAAACTTGGTCAGGATGCTTGTCTAGGTAAATACCTGAGTTTTAAGGGTCAGGTGAGTGATCTAGGGACATCTTGGCCCTCTTGTTTACATCAAAGTTCAGTGAGCTTGTTGAACCATCCCCTGCATTTTAGCACTTACCGGTACATGAGTAGGACAGTTCAAGTGATTTTGTATGGAAGTCATGTGAGGAAGCTATCCAGATAGGTTACAGAATATCAGTGGTTCTACAGTACTCAGGTGCTTGCTCATATCTGAAATAATGCACAGAGTTGCACCTCAGCTCTTTTGAAACTGCTAAGAGCAACATTGCTGGGACTTGTAACTGCCTTAAGCTCTTTGGACTGTATATTTACTGGCAGTTACTATAAGACTCTTAATACCCTGATACAGTACCCTACAAAAGTCTGGAGACATATAGAGAATACCATGCTAGTGTCTGATATTATAAAATTTATCAGGCAAGGCTAAGAAAAAAAATGAAGGGCGAGGCTGTGCCGAGCTCTTCTTTTTTTTTTCATGCCGAGCCTGATAAATTTTATAATATTAGACACTTGTTTGGTATTCTATTTATCATGTTTTCAATTTCAATTGTTGTTTGATTTTTTTTTATTTTAATTGAAGCAAAACCCTATCCAGAACCTCTCGTGTTCAGACGGCGCGCAATAATATGTGAAATGCCAAATCAAAAAGAAATAGTCCCGAATGTTTTAGTTAATTGTAAGTGACGCGTTCATATTCAAAATTTCTATTCGATTCAAAGTTTATCAGTTAAATATTTCCAACCTAGTAGCAGGAAAATATATTCCATTCTTTTTATTTCATTTCGCAAATTTTGCATATTTTTGATGAGGTGTCTGATAAAGCTTGGGGTGACTGATAAAGCTAGGTTTATCAGGCATGCACTCTATCAACAGAAATCAATGTAATGACATGATAAATATATATTCTTTTTAATGAAAAAATGGAAGAAAGCATAATTCTTTTGCATTTCATCCTGTAACTTCCCTTTATTAAATAAAGCTATGGTTTATTGGTGACATTAAAAAGCAGTTGATGAATGAATTAGTATTTATTTAGAAATACAAGAAAAAGATGTTTCTCATCACAAATTATTGGTATCAGTAACTGTTAAAATTAATGAATTCCCTTGATAAGTTGACTATCTGTCACATGACATGTTTTCTGTGTTGGTGTTACAGAGTTGACTAAACGAGATGTGGCTGGGTTTGCTATTGGTGGACTAAGTGGTGGGGAGGAGAAGGCCATGTTCTGGAGAATGGTGGATGTGTCTACAGACTGTCTACCTGATGATAAACCTCGATATCTTATGGGAGTAGGGTAAAATATATTTCTTCAAAGATGACAAACCTTATATTATGGGAGTAGAGTAAATATTTTTCTTTATAGATGACAAACATGGAAGCAGAGTAAAATATTTTTCTTCAAAGATGACAAACCTTATATTATAATATGGGAGTAGTGTAAATATTTTTCTTTAAAGATGATAAACATGGGAAATGGGAACAATATTTTTGTTTAAAGTTTGTTGGTTTTTGTATCTTATAGTAGTAGGGTAAAATATTTTTCTTTAAAGATGACAAACATGGAAGCAGAGTAAAATATTTTTCTTTACAATTTGTTGGTTTTGATATCTAATGGGATAGGGTAAAAACATTTTTATGGCTATGTTTCAAAACTAATCATCCAGGAAAATGCAACTGAAAAATCTTTGAAATAAACAATTTGCATTTTTAAGTTCATAGCAGAGGAAATCCAGAACTAACAATTATCTGAGGTTTAAATGAGAGTAGAGGAAATAGTTTGTTACACTTTATCCCAAAATCTGCTAATTTTCTTAAATGGACTTATCCATCTTACATTTCTGGAACTGTCCATTACCAAATTTGGGGATATCAAGGTCAGACTGCACGGATTTGTTGGCTGGTTCAGCTTCATACTGGTGACGAGGCAGGTTTATTTCTCAGCACTCTGGGAACATGACCTAAGCCCCTGAATTGGGATTTTTTTTCCCATGCTTTAGACAAATTGGGAAAAACTGATACCATATTGTATACAGAAAATAAAACAAAGAAATCAAATATATTTTCATGTATTTCGGAAATTAACTTCTTTTTTTTATAATTTCACTTATAAGCACAATTTGAAGTGCAAGTTTTCCATTTACTATGGCACGGTGCTATTAAAAATAACAAAATTACCATAATTTTACTTATATTATTTTTTGAACCTTAAATTGGAAATTTTCCCCTTGAAATCGGGGGTAAGAAAACTTTATGGCATTGGGAATATGACACAATATAGGTCATCAAAATGGGCCCGGAAAGAAACCCCGCTTATGAAAGTCTGCTTATTTTCATTTTCTTCAAGGTAATGTAATGGTATAATGCCTTGTGTATACTATTCAATTTCAACCTAGGTTTGTTATTAATGTGTTGTGTTTATATTCAGGTTTGCGGAAGATCTTGTTGTATGTTCAGCACTGGGTTGTGACATGTACGACTGTGTGTTCCCAACAAGAACAGCGGTATGTGATATCAGGCACAATATTTCTCAATGAGTCCCTCAATGGCATGGTTGTTTTATGAATGTTGAACATTATATTTGCCTTTCTTCGCTGGTTTGAATCTGTCTGGAGAACTTTAATTTACAATTACATGCAAGTTCTAGCATATGGAAGAACATTTGTTATTCTCAGATCCCTGCACATGCCTGAATTGATGCAATGGAAAGGCATAATTATTAAATGTGTAAACCCAAAATTTGCATTTTAGCACTTGTATAAAAGCTATATTATTTTATTAAGTTGGTTTTATAAGATATTACTTTGATTAGTGTATGATTTATGCCTCATTACATTCTTTGAATAACAGCAGGGATAATGACATACCGCCACTTCAGTGCAGTAATGGGTTAAGTCCTTCTAAATTTAACAGGAGTTAACAAGTTAATATACTAAGGTGAGGATACCTAAATTAACTATGTAACTAGAATAGCCAGCAAAGTAGTGCAATTTAAGCTGCCCCAGTACTGTTCTCTGTTGAAATTTAATATTTTGATATATATAAAAAAATACCCCACACATTTACAGTGAGCAGTTCCAATATAAAGCAAGACTAGTCCATTTTTACACATTCAATATGGTTAGGGTTTAATCACTTGCATGGTTCACAAAACCGACTTTCTTTCTTGCAGAGGTTCGGAAATGCACTTGTCAGAAGTGGGAGCTTGAATCTGCGGAATAAAATGTTTGCTAAGGATTATCGACCTATTGATGACAAGTGTGGATGTTCTACCTGTAGACAGTATACACGTGCATACCTACACACCATAGCAACCAATGAGGCGGTAGCTTGTTCACTAATATCAGTGCACAACGTAGCGTTCCAGGTTTGTGTTTTAGATTATGCAGTTTTCGTAAAATTGGTTTAATGTATGTCCTCAGGCCTGCTTAGATCAATACGCTTCAATAGGCAAAGCAATGGATTAGTAATACAAGAGTCACTGGTTTGATATATAGTTGAGGCAAAATCTACAGTGACAAAATGATCTCTGATATTGAGTCTAGTGGTAGTTTGTATATCAACCCTGGTTCACAAAATCATGTTAGAACAGTAAGTCTGTCACTTATAGAGAAATAGGTAATTACTGGTATGTTATCCAGGAAAGCCAGGAAGGTGAATCTACCACTGAGATATAATAAAAGAATGTGTTGAAATCGGCATGAAAAAAAAACAACAACAGACAAACAGTAGAAATGCATGAAGGATTTGTGTATAGATTGTCGAATCTGCCTAATTATTACTTTAAAGCTGTATGTCTCCAGATGAGCCAAAATATTTCAAGGAAATCAAACTTTTGGAAAACGCACTAAGATTGTTAGAAAAGTTTTTAGATTCAAGATTCAAGTAATAATTTATATCTTTTGTGCAATTAATGATTTATTTTGCAGTATTTTTCACCATATTTCTACTGCATTACAAATGCAGTAAGGGCTATTTTTGCATATTTCGACCCATTTTTTGTAATTTATATGGATTGTAAGTGCCGTTTGTTCACTTTGCAATATTTTACTTTTAAACATATTTTCAAAATTATCATAAAAATTAGGATAAATCTGGAGGCGTGCTGCTTTAAAGAATAACAGTGAACCTTAACCACTGGAATTTCTTTAGATAGAATTGTGCCATCCGGAGTATAAAGAATAAAAAAATTTTACTGTTGAAACTTTCGAAAATTATTTCACTTTTTTTTTCTTAATGCATCTTTCTATTAGAAAATCAATTTGTAATTGGAGATAATTACAAAAAATGTTCCGGAATCAGGACTTTTTTCTGTCATGCACTTTGCCAAACAATTCAAATGGGTTAGCCAACCTTTGGGGGTTTTTTTTGTAAAAAAAGTACACTCAGGTCTTTTATTGAAAAAAATATTTTAGCCGTATACCTTTAAATGACTACATGTATATTTTAATTATTTGCTTTTTCAGCTTGACTTAATGAGAAGTATACAGAAGAGCATAAAGGAAGACAAATTTCCAGAATTCATACATGAATTTTTCCGTATACTGCATCCAGATGGTACATATCCAGGGTGGGCAGTCGAGGCATTGAATAAAGTGAATGTGCATTTAAATAACTGTGATATACAAAATGGATCAAAAGGTGCAATAAGTAAAGAAATAAAGTCTTAGCTTTTTTATATATTGTTTTGTTTACATTAATTTCCAGGAAAAAAATCTGGTAAAGCATATTCAATTCAAAATTTAATTTTCATATAACAAATACATGCTTATAGCATAGTACACATTAGCTAACAACAAACAACACAAATGCATGGATTTTACCAGAGGTGCATTCAATGTTTTATTAATTAATGATGATTTTCTCAAAACGAGACAATTCATGCAGTGGCCAATTTGTCCTGCCTTCATTTTTCTGATTTTTTCGTAGGAGGGGTCTTTGTTGTCGAGTGTTTAAGGTTTTTGACTTCAAACCACTTGCCCCACAATGCTGTAGGTTTGAGTCACCCTAAAGACTTTGTATTCTATAATGTGAGGACAGCTATCTAGCTAGCTTACAGAACGTCATAGGTTCTACTCGGTTACCTATTTGTGCCAGAAATAATGCACAAAGAGGCACCGGAGATCTTCCTCCTCCAGCACGGCTGGTACATCGCCATATGACCTATACTGTGTTGATAGGGCGTAAATCACAACGAAACTGGCATGATGCTAAGTATGTCATTTCGAATCACACGAGCGTGATATACATTTTGTTGGAGTAGTATTTGCGCATGCAATTCCCTTAATTTAAAAAGATATATGCAGGAATATATTAAATCTTGATATCTAGTGTTATGGAAATTAACCCTCTTTGTGACCTCTGTTACGGAAATTAACCCTCGTTGTGACCTCTGTTATGGAAATTAACCGTCGTTGTGACCTCTGTTACGGAAATTAACCCTCATGACCTCTGTGTCCAAAGTAACAGATAGGTTGGAAACCGGTATATCTTTATTAAAATATTGTTCATGTTTATCCGGTGTTGATGTGTGGTTTCTTTGTATTCTTCCTTTTCATCCAAAGTAACATTTTGTAAAGCAAATTCAGTAAGAATTATCAATACACGAATACGAAACTGCCCTCGTTACTTAAAAAGAAAGTTGCTATTTTTAGTAAAACTTTATTTGTAAGAATAATAAAAAAGTTAACATTATGAGATTATGCAAAGTTAAAACAGGAGTAAAATTGTGTATACAAAAAAGGCATAAAAACATGTATGGTAAATGTGCAGAAATTATTCACAGTTGCATATGTATAATATAAACAGATGCAATTTATAAAAAAAACAGCATCAATATATTTGTACATTGATTTTATCAAAAAAAAATATACAAAAATATTCTAAAATCAGAAAAAAAACTTATTTATTGCATAGTAGATTGTTTACAAAAATCACTAATCTGTCCATTCAAGTGTTAATACAAGTAGTCCGTACTAGCAGCTGCAGAGAAATCAGTAATTATTGGTTTAAGTTAGTTATCTAGGAAAGCCGACTTAAGGTGCTCTGCCCACTTAGATATGACACAAAAAATGGGTTAAAATTGGCATTAAATTAAAACGACAGAAAAACAAATTTAACAAACAAAATGTAAAATATTAAGGGATTTCTACTATTTTCTACTGAGATTCAACTGAGGATTTCTGATTCACAAGATAATTACATCAATTTAACCTCTTGTAAACAAACAGATACAAAAATTATTGAAATTTGAATAAGAAACAAAAAACAACAACAAAAGCCATAAAGATGCATATAACAATCAGTTTTGTAAAAAGACAATTTCAAAGTTGTCAAAGCCATACCAAAGACTAATTTTTATATATCAAAATTTCCATCTCCAGATTTTACTGCTTCAAAACAGGGCATTTTTTAACAAAAAACAACAGTTACTCTTTTTCACCCAGGGTATGTACCTTCATCAAACAGAGACTATACATGTAATAAAACTATTTATTCTATAACTCTGACATAAAACTTTTCAATTTGGTATGGCCTTAAATCACAACAAAAATGTGACAGTATTAATTATGCATGAATCTGGGTTGTCATTTAAAAATTTGCTTTGACATTTATTTATTTGAAGTGGTCATTTTTGGTTTTAATTCATATACTGTAACAACAAAAAGTTTGGTTTTTGTTTTAAAGATCCTGTATGTTGTAATTAAGGTTGACTGTACCACACTTATGTGAAATTTTATATATGTATATAATTATGCTTATAAAAGAATTTTCAAAGAATTTGTAAAATATGTACTGAAAATATTTGTGCACATTATATGTAATCATTAAAATATATGCATTCATTTCTTATTGTTAGACTTTATAGAAAATAAATTTCTAATTACCTCCCTTTATTTACTTGGAATGTTAAATTTTGTAATATCTTTATAAATAATACTTTTTGGAACTTATAACATACATAAATCTTAAATTGAGCATCATATTTATGATATACAAGAGCGATCAGTGATCACATGTGTCGCCTCATAATGGCCAATTTCATGTTGGGACAAGTTTTGTGACAGACGGACAGACAGACGGACAGTGCACAAATAGACTTGGTACTGATCATTCCTGTAAAGTTTGGATGAAATTGCACCAGTAGTTCATGAGGAGTAGTCCTGACAAGCTTTTGTGTATCTGGCAACACACAGAAAAAAACACCTTTTTATCAAAGGGCCATAACTCGGCCAAAAATCATTCAACCGGAAAACCCGTGCAATATGCGCAAGGACTTGAGCTACAGATCAATCCTGTAAAGTTTCATTGAAATTGCATTAGTGGTATAAGAGAAGTAGTCCGGACAAACTTTAAAAATGAAAATTATTAAAGGGCCATAACTCTGACAAAAATCATTGAACCGGGAAATGCTGACAATATGCACAACTAGACTTGGTACTGATCATTCCTGTAAAGTTTGGATGAAATTGCACCAGTAGTTTATGAGGAGTAGTCCGGACAAGTTTTGTGACGGACAGACGACGGAGAAGTGATCCCTATATGTCGCCACTACTCCGTAGAGGCGACACAAAAACCATAAAAACTTAAAGGATCTTTAAGACTGCCCTAAATATGAATTTGTGGCAGTCATTTTCGCCTCCATGCAGCCACCTCTTAATGATAACTTATTATATACATATACAAACAACATACATAAAACTTATAAAAAGTAAAATTTTATTGGAATGTGTTTTGTTATTATTATCACAGAGCGATGATATGAAAATATACAGTTAAATGGTAATAAAAATATGAATGTATAGTAAACTCCGCGTATAGAGATATCCAAATTTATGTATTTTCATTATATCCAGATAGGAAACCAGATAGTTATACCCGTGAGGAAACCAATTTGAAATCAAGAGTTGGAAACGCAGTAATAGTATCTTTCCATGTGGTAAATCAATATAACAGTTTTTATTATAAGTGGAGTTTACTGTATATATTGTTATTGCATGGTTCAGTATTGTCAAAAGAATCTCTTTCTGTATAAAATAAAAAGCGACTTACCAACCAGGCAATCAGACCAGCTGATTAAAACATGAGAAACCATCAGACTGACAGCATTCTGGACTATTTTTAAAGTTTGATAGTTTATTAAAGGGCAATATAGAAAATATCCCAGTAAATATTAGAAGAATAATTCAGAAAAACAAAATATGATATTATATCCAGTATGTTTAAATTGTAGATCTTAAATTGTTGAAAAAAATCTTGCAAGCAAAATTTTCATTATGATTTTTTGAATTTTACAAAAAAGAAAATAATTCCATAAAAATCAATGCTAGAGTTATGAGTCTTGGACAATGACCTAATTTTGTTAATAATCCCAAAGTTTTGTTTGAATCACTGTCATGGTTTCAGAAAAATTGAAAGAAATAAGACCTCATATGCCCTGGCTATTGCTTCTGCAAGTAGTATTAAGCCCCAATTTTTTGTGAATTATAAATAAAATTCAAAATTATTAACATGCTTCTTCATGAAAAGTGTCTAGAATATGATGATGAATGAATACAAAAGCAGTAATAAAATCTGATTAAAACACAACACACTGAATAAATAATTCAAAAATAAAATCTCATAATATAATGATTGTATTATTTCCAACATTCAGCTTGTAGTAAATACAGTCAGAAAATAGTTTGCGCTACAAATAAAATGTAATAATCGTTTCCTTCCATTTCATAATCTATGAAAAATATTTCATCACACAAACAAATCACTAATAATTTCACAGCAAATAAAAAGCGATTCATATCATATAATATTCAATATAAAAGAAAAAATATATTTTGCCGATTCTTATTTAACACACATACGAGGGGTTATCCAAAACTTCGTGGACTTTGTTTGTTGCGTAAAATATATTTGAGATAATGATTTGAAATTCTTACACTGCTTAGAAGAATGAATAACGAATAAACACAGAAAAATTCATGTGAGTAGCTTCTAACATTACAACAATATTTAATTTTACATACACACATGTCGGCAACAGTGGCGCACTCCAAAAAGTTATTGACGTCAACGTCATAATATTAACATACAACTTGTGCTTCAAAGTTACGCAGTCAATGACGGTTACTGCTTCTCAAAGTTATGTCCATCACTAAACTTTTTATGCCACTTTAACACAAATGATCGTGAAATTTTCTTTTCTCTGTTCGTCTGCTGATTTTTAGTAAATGTTTTTGTAGGTGTCATTAATTTCCAAATTACAAAAAAAATTTTTGATTGTTTATGATCATGCGATTTTCTAATTACTGCGTGTCCGTCATTTTCCCATTGTAAACAATAAAGGCGTTTGGCGTTTCCTGCGATATCAACAATAATAAACGGAATTGACGTCCATTATTTTAAAGAATTACTTAAATGACATCATAGAAGAAACATGCCATGTTCAGCGGGTTTTCTACGTTAATTTTTTAGTTTTTTAGCAAGAAATATACGAAGACTTACTGCGCTTTACTACTGTGCGCCGGATGCCCTGTATGTACTTATTTAAAAGCAATATAAAATAATAATTTATTAACACAATTAACTGTTCCTTTCAAAATATGTTGATAATATTCTACAATGTATGCTGATAATTTTTCATCACAATACACGTTGACGTTAAAGAGTCTCATATTTAAAAAGTCCACGAATTTATGGATAACCCCTCGTATATTTACATTTGCATAGTAATTAATGTACATTTAATGCAACAATTTCAAAATCAATTGTCTTTCTGAATAACATTTTTGATATAAAAGTATTCAAGTCTGTTTTGGGATTCTACAAATCTCTATACAGAATTCAAACAAGTTCCAACTCTTTTTTTTGTATGTTAAATATACTTCACTTTTAATAATTTAAAGTGCTTTTTTAGTTTGATACAGTAATCTGCAAAGTTCTTAGAATTGCTTTGTGATTTTATAATTTGCACTGTGTAAATGACTTTCAAAAACTTAGTCTAATGCAAAATCAGCCATTATACACAGTTGAAATAAAATTTATTTCCTACATAACAATTTATTGTTGAAGTGGCAAAATATAGGTAATACCTATCTGTCCCACTCACAGTACAAGCTATATGTTTACAAGACAAGATTTCTTTGTAAATGTTAAATCTCACCATGTATTGATGAAACAAATCAAAGTCAGGGTGACCACTACATAAAGCCTACAGGGCAAGGATAATAAAATGAGATTCTTTGTTAAAAGTTTGATATCATAGACACACCTAATCTCAAATGTAGCCAATACATATTAGTAATTATTTTATCAAATTAAAATCCGTAACAATTTGTTATTCAGAAGAATTCTTTCAAAGTTCAAATATATCGGCCACTTTTTTGCAGGGTTGGGGGATGGGGGTCAATAAATGGTGAATTTATATTATTAGTTTACAGATTACGTGACTTTGTATGGAATTTCAGTATTGAATCTTCTGTAGATAATGTAGGCAGCCAGCAATCCTAACAACGCCCCTATTACTAGCATTCCTATCCCGAGTCCCGCCATGGCACCTGGAACAACAAAAACAAAACATGTTACTATGTGTTTGTTTGATTGGGTTTTACATGACACCAACACAGTATAGGTCATTTGGCAACGTTCAAGCTTTACTGGGAGGAAGACATTGGGTGCCATACTGTTTATTGTTTCATGCACGAACAGGCACCTGAGTAAAACCACAGACTTTCTATAATCTAGCTCAATAGCTTCCTAACATAAAAGAATCCAAAGTCTCTGTTTGGGATTCGAACCCACAGGGGTGAGGGGTGAGTTGTTTGAAGTCAACGACACCCCATGTAACTATGTGTTTTGACTTTCAGCATACTTCCTATTGATCTCTCAGTTACTATGACAGTCATTTCTTTAATGCTATTATAGCCTTTACAGTCAGTTAGTCACTAAAATACATAGCCATTTTCAATATTCATCATCAAGTATGCAGAAACTGCATAGGCTTCAAAAAATGTCCAGACACAGTCTAGGAATATCGGCATTGGTCTTACAAAAATTTTCTTTTTCTGTTATGTTATTGATGAGTATAATTATTCTTAAAAGATATGCCTTGCTCGAAGCTATATCCCCCTATCTTCCCATCATATTGTTTAGGAGTTAATTATTCTTGATTTTCAGCAGTTTCCCACTTACAACGTGTTGACGCTATCTACTATCGCGGTGCAAAATAACATGTTTTGGGTACCTCATTCAGGGCCTCATAGAAGTTCCTGTTCAGTTTCTAAAAATAGTTTTTTTCGGTGTCGCCTAAAATAGACTGAAGTTTGTGTAGGTAGGTTACGAGTGTAATTTACACAACTATCTACAAGATATTGCAGAAAAAATGTGATTTAGTGTCAAAGTTATCTCGCCAACCAGTATCATTCTAGAATAATAATACTCAGCATCAACATAACAGAAAAAAAAAAAACTTTTCCCTTTGTAAAATAAAATAAAGCTATACTTTTATAAAAAGCTACAACTTTTCCAAACTTTTTGCCGTATCAGCTTTTCTCGGTTTTTAAAAACAGGCAAAAAATTTGCTTACTTCTTGTTTTTTGGAGTCAAATTTTGACCGTAATTTGGCTATATTAATTATACTTTGGCCAAATAATGGCTATTAATGTTACATTACCTGCTCCATATTTCCTAGTTGAGGCACTTGTTACAGTAGCTTTTGTTGTATAGACCTCATATAAACTTCCTTCCAGTATACCAAGTCTCTGAAACAATAAAATTGGTACATCTAGAAATACTTAAAGCAGCATGCCTCCAGATTGATGCTACTTTTTAATTTCATGAACAATTTGAAAATGTATCTAAAAGTATAGTAATGTGAAGTAAGCAAAAGGAAGCAATTTGCAAATTACAAACAGGCCTCATAACCCACGTAAATTACCAAAATGAAGTAAAAATATTAATAATAGCATTTACTGCTTTTATTATCGAAGAAGAAACATGGCTAAAAATACTGAAAAATCAGTCATTAGTGGTAAACAACATGTAAATTTTTATTTGAATCATGAATTTTTTTACTTTCCCAAGTACATTTTTCTTGGGTTTGATTTAATTGATATATTTTGGCTCATCTGGAGGCATGTGACGTTGATAAACCTTTATTCTTGTTTATCTGGTTTGTTTACCGTTTAATATGTCGTATCTTGAAATCAGTCCATCTAATCAGATTTATATGATTACTAACCAGTAATTTACCAATTTCTCTGCAAATGACCAACAGTATTAATCCCACATGATTTCTGATTCAGCAGTGAGAGAGAAATGACCATTAGACTCCATGCCCAAGGTCAATTGTTATAGAGAAATGCGCCTCACCCAGGGATCGGACATGTGACCCCAGGATAACAAATCCAATGCTTAGACTCCCTATTCAGCTAAGCCAGTGCTTCTGTGTCAATTGAATTGGTAACAAATTGAGAAAACATTGCATCAAACTTCATAGAATATTATTAGTATTAATAAATAAAATTTGCAAGTTTAGTTATCTTTGGCTCCATAAAGGTCAAAATTTCATTTAGTAAAATTTTATTTAGTGCCCATCTGTGCATTGTTTCAACCACAAGCAGATGCCTAAATAAAACCAGTGATCTTCCACAGCTTTCTCACAAAGAATCAACAGATCCTTGATGAATTCATTTACCCACTGTTCTGAGGGGCAAATTTATTCAAAGACAGCAATCTTTACCCCTCTGCTTTGAACGCCTGTAGGTCTGTACTCACTAAACTAAGACGGGGAACCAGAATATGAGAAATCCACTTACAGCAGTGTGACTGGTTCCCAGTACAACATCAAACATGATGTGTGTCCCAGAGTTTATTGCATTCTGGAGGTTAGAAATAGCCTCAGACAAACTTGGCCCTGTGTAAACGGATTCTTCAAGACCTGTAAAATCAAATTGATAATTCTATAGTATTTCATCAATAAACAAGGCAAGGTTTTCAAACCCAGAAACCATTTTTCTATTTTTAGCCACAGTGACCTTGCCCTAGAGCAATATCCAAAGCTTGCTATACATCAAGTTTGATAACAACATCTTGCTCCAAACTCTAAGTTATTCAGACTGGTTACCACCTCATTTGAAGCCCGACTAACTGAACTCCCACCATTTGCCAATCTATTAATTAACCAGGATATTCAAAATTGAAAACCTTGTTAAAAATAGTGCCACACATAATCAAGGTAAAGTTGCATTGTACACTTTTATTATCTAGACCTGTAAAATTGACATCAAGATCATGGTATCAGATATATTTTACAATACTTGCCATTTTTTCAGTTTTATGAAGTACTGTATAAGTGGTTAATTTTGCGACGTGGAAATATTTGCGATTTTTGCTTATTGAAATTATTTGCAAATATTTGATCACCCAAAAATAATTTCTTTTAAGGCAAACTTTCTTCTATCATTTGAAAACACGTTTATATAGCAATTCTTACATGTATAGGAATGACTGTTTAGGCAATGAGATTAATTTTTCCCATTGCTTATTTGCTCAAGTTTGCAATCATGTAGTCGTCTTAGCAAATCACAACTATTTCAATGAAACAATATATGTTTTAATAACACAATAGGTTATTCATATAATAAAAGAATATTTCATAATATGACAAAGAAATGTTTAATCTGAGGACCTTTCTCAAACTAACAATGTATATTTAAAACAATTATATAAATGATAAATGTATTAAACAACTGAAAAGTATGATTACAATAATGGCATATTCTTAATATAAACTGACTTATTTCATGATATCATAAAACAGCATTAAATTCAAAAAATCATATTTTCTCATTTTGACATTCGCAAATTTTTGTGATGCATAAATATCCACTTATACAGTATTTTATTTTCATTAGAGCATTGTGACATTTTATGATTCATAATGACCACAGGTGCATCAAAATTCATTCTTTTATTAGTCCTAATTACCATGGTAAATATCTTTTCTATCATTTTTATCTGGATAAAATCATTTAACAATTTAAGTGAACAATCTACAGATTATATAGCTAACGGTGCAGATTCGGAACAAATGTGCATTGTTAACATTCAAGTAATATGCTTCCTTTAGGTAATTTATTCTCATCAAGTTCAAAAACTTGTTCCTCATCTAGTAACTGGTTCCTTTCAAGTAAATTGTTCCCATTTTTTCTAGTAATTTGTTCCCTTTTATCAAGTACCTTGTTCCCATTAGATAATTTATTCTCATCAAGTAACTGGTTCCTTTCAGGTAACCTAATGTTGCCATTTTTTAAGTAACTTGTTCCCATTTTTTAAGTAACTTGTTCCCATTTTTTAAGTAACTTGTTCCCTTTAGGTAATTTATTCTCATCAAGAGGAAAACCTTGTTTCTCATCAAGTAACTGGTTCCTTTCAAGTAACATGTTCCCATTTTTCAAGTAACATGTTCCCATTTTTCAAGTAACATGTTCCCATTTTTCAAATAATTTGTTCCCATTAGAAAATTTATTCTGATCAAGTAACTCAGGTTCCTTTCAAGTAACTTGTTCCCATTTTTCAAGTAACTTGTTCCCATTTTTTAGATAACTTGTTCCCTTTAGGTAATATATTCTCATCAAGTGCAAAACAAGTTGCTGGTTCCTTTCAAGTAACTTGTTCCCATTTTTCAAGTAACTTGTTCCCATGAGATAATCTATTCTCATCAAGTTACTCATTCCATCAAGTAAAACAAAGTCCCATCACAAACTGTGTCGCCAAAGCTGACTCTACTTTTTATTTTGAATTAAAGAAATTTAAAAACCAGGTACCTAAGTACCTGCAAAACCTAGTTCATAGTTAATTGTATAGTTACATACCTGTGAGTTTGTTGTCAAACAACTGGAAGGTGACAATCAGACGAGTATTTCTGTTAAATTTTCCTTCCTCCCACTGTAACACATACACAGGAAATCATTAATCACATAGTTACAATAACACAATATTCCATGAATAACTTATACAGTAACACAGTACATCTGAGCATGATTTTTTAAGTGGGGTTTTACGTCCAACCAACACAGTAAAGGTCATATGGCAACTTTACAGCTTTACTGGTGGAGGAAGCCCTCTGGTGCCCCTCCGTGGTTTATTGCAGGCAAGAGTAGGCACCCGAGTAGAACCATCGATAATCCTAAAGCTAGCTAGATTATAAGCTTCCTCACATAAAAGAATCCAAAGTCTTTGGTGGAGATTCAGACCCACCGTGGTGAAGGACAAGTCACAGGTTTAAAGTCCACAACCTTAACCACTCAGCCATGGACGGCCCACAAACAAACTAAGTATTATTCATTTTCTTTGGTTTTAAGCCACAATGACACCATTAGGGGCCACAATGATATGACAATTCAGAATTGTCAAACTATACTAGTGAAGAAGGACCTAAAGAGAAATGTCCTTCCGTTAAGCAGACATCAGACACAAGCACTGGCACCTCGCATAGAACCATCCGCTTTTCTGTAAACTGGATAAATAGCTTCTTGACTTACAAAAGATGATCAACACAATAATTTTATGACACTTAAAAATAATACTTGAATATTTCATTATTAAATTCCTATAACTTTAATCTGAAAATCTTATACCTTGATGGATGCAACTCTGGTAACGGAAACTTTTGCAGCAGAGGCAATTGTCTGTCTTACTTCAGAGATAAACTCCTTTTGGTGGAACTTCAGAACTTCATCAATTTCTCTACCTGTATTAATAGATAATAAATGCTGTTTTATAAATCTAAACACTAACTTATGAATAGCTGAATTATAAAATTTAGTATAATTGTTGATAGGAATTGTGTTAACTCTTGTATTAGATGGATCACTTATAAGATGGGGGTCTCAATTTATTACAACAGATGAAAAAGATGGTTCTGGTAATTCGTCAATAAGTATTTTTTGGATACTATTACAAAAGTACACCAAAATTAAAAAGCTTTTGAGAAATGAAAATAAATGCATTCCCAAGGCATAGCAGAGCTTTAAACAGTCATATGACCTAATTTATGGACACAATATATATTGTGAAACCTTTTTCATGAGACAAACACTATAGCTGTTAAAGACAAAATCATGGAAACTTTCTGGGCAGGAATGACCATGTATTGGCCTTTGTGTATCAGTTGGCACACAAAGAAGGCATCTATTTAAAGCAACAAAGTTTCCTCACATGTATAATTTAAAAAAAACAGCTTTCTAGGGATTCAAACCCACTGTACTACAGGACTAATCAATTTACCTGTAATATCAACTGCCAGGTATGTGGAGTGGTAATCCATAGCAAAGCATTGAGATACATCAAACACATCTGGGTCTGGATGTCCATTTGAAAAACCATACATGTGTTCGTATGTTGATATCTTAATCTGAAGAATAAACAGCGATAAAAAAGGGCCTGGTGACTTAGCATGTACATCAGTAATTAAAGTAAACTTAACAAGGTTGTGTTAATAATTTAAAGACCATTTTTCAACAACTGGTCATTGATTTAATAGAACAGAGTAACCCCCAACAGTCATATTTGGTCTCTCCTTTAGGCAGCCTTTGTTCACATTAGGTTTACTGTTTATGTAAAACGAACAAGCTAAAAACACAACAGTTTAAGAATTAATGCATTACAATAATGTTCAGTACAACCAAAATACTCATGTACAATGACATGTTAAAATCATGCAAGTGTTAAATTTGGATATATTTCTAAATGAATATTCACAGTTGGTGGGAGTAAATATACTATTATTATTTAAGCTTCTTCACAATTTATTTACAATAACAGCAAAATGATATAGATAATGGTTACCCGAGTCCGATGAGATTTTCACAGTGTATTTGACCTGCATTTTATTTAATAAGCTGGCAATAATTGCATTTAATACATAGAAAACTCCATTTCCCCCATTTAAGTGACATTCCATAGTCATATCATAACTTTTATATAAACCAAGACTTGCGTAGAATATCATTACTTTAGAATATATCATAACTTTAGAATATCATAACTTTAGAATATCATAACTTTAGAATATCATTACTTTAGAATATATCATAACTTTAGAATATCATAACTTTAGAATATCATAACTTTAGAATATCATAACTTTAGAATATCATTACTTTAGAATATCATAACTTTAGAATATCATAACTTTAGAATATCATAACTTTAGAATATCATTACTTTAGAATATCATAACTTTAGAATATTGTAACTTTAGAATATCATAACTTTCGAATATCATTACTTTAGAATATCACAACTTTAGAAAACTGGTAAACAAGAAGAAATTCTATAAATGCTACAAGGTGTCTGACATTATGTACAGAATGTGACTCACTGGAACTGTATCATGGGATGGTCCATTCTCATAAATGCCCACTGGTTCCAGGTCTACAAGCCAATCTTGTCCAGGCCTCACTGGCCCATTTTTCTGAATTAAAAAAGAAAACAAAATATTCTTGACAAAAACACATAACTAAATACTAATGATATTTCAATCTCTTAAGTGCAATTAAAGAAGTTTGTGAAAATTATCGTTTAAAGCTAAGACATTTAACCTATTAAACAAGACACAGTAAACAGGCTCAATGCACATAAAAATGTACATTTAACCCTTAACATGCTGAATATTTTAAATAGACTTGTCCCACTTCCATTTTTCAGACTGTCCATTATCAATTTTAGGGATATCAATTTGAATATTTAAAGTTTGTCAGCCAACAGTATAGAGCCTGGTCAGACTGAACGGATTTGCGGGCTGGCCTGGCTCTATGCTGGTGGCAAAGGCTTTATACTTTCAGTTTGTGCACTTTAAGAGTTAATTCTCAGTCACAACTAGATATATGTCTATATGATCTGTTTGATACAGATGTCCCGACATTCTACAGTGTTACAGCAGGACCCTGAGATAGAGAAGGGACTATTTATTCTATATGACTCCCCCCACATAAAGTGACATTATGGTCATTTCTTTAGATGTCAAGTTGTGTTGAATGAGTAAAATATTTCAAATGTTTCTATGGCAAAACAGAAGAGTCCTGTGACCTTACAGCACTCCAACACAACAGAAGCTTTGTACAGACAAGATTTGATGTTGACCATTATTTATTGCTTGTCGACTATGTAGAAAGTTAGAAAAGAACTTCAAGGATAACCAGTCTTACCTGTGGCATGTGAAAGAGAATTTCAGTTGCCTGTTTTGATGAAGTGTTAAACTTAGCCCATGAATAAACTGGTAAACCTCTCCAAGATTTCTGTTAAAAAAAAGAGAGAAAAAAAGAGATTTATTTCATACAGTAAATAATTTCCAATTTTCTATTATGATAATAGTAAAAGGGGTCAATCTCATTATTTCCACCAACAGCTATAATAATAATAATAATAATAAAGACTTTATTTAAAGAGGCAACATAGTTAGGCAAGCCTAGTGAGTCTTCCCTATGAGCCTCTATCAAAATGTACATATATACAGTAAATTCTCTCTATTAAGACCACTAACGGGACTGACTCAAAGTGGTCTTAATAGTGAACTGGTCTTAATAGTGAATAAGTCACTTTAACAGCTGACAAAGTCCAACTTAACTTAATGTATACCTTGTATAGTTTTATATAGTAAATGCACTTAATTAAATGAGTAAAAAGAAACACATATTTTTTTTAAACAAAAAACATTTTTAATGTATGATAATATGATACATCATTAATATAATGAAAATATTAATTTACGGCTAGTGTTTCAAGTTTACCCTTTAGAAGAAAAAATATGAGGTATTAAATATAGTTATGACTCTCATTATGATTTATACATTAATTACATATCGAAGTAAAGCACACATGAACTGATAATTTGGTGTAATTAGCAATTTTACCATACTTGCTTGTGATGCACAACAAACATTTTAAATGCTATTCACCTGTTTATTACATCTTAATTACCCGGCAAATTAATCGTTTCTCACACCATAGCTGCTTAGATTAATTAGCCAGAAGTGGTTTAAACTGATCATGTTGACGCTTGAATGCTAAAGATACATTGTAAAAGCAAACGTCTAATCAATCAATATATATTAATGACCTCATTTGACCCGGTGTATTTGTTTACGCCACAGGGAAGATTACGACAATTAATTGGGGGCAATAAACACCAAGTGATGTCTGGCCATTATGTTGCATGGTCGCAATACAGATTAATGTTTTGATAAGAAATACACACAAATGTCTGACAGAAGTGGTCGTTTTGCCGGATTAGAGACGTGGTCGGTATACTGGTCATTTTTCTCAATGAATAAAGAAGGTAAATATTTTGTACTTTAAAAAAGTGCCCGTAATAGTGGCGTGGTCCTATTTGTGGCGTGGTCGTTAAGTGGCACTTTACTGTATACAGTTACAAACAGAAGATTTATATAAACAAACAAAAAAGAAAACTTAAGGTATACAAGTTATACAACATAGAAAAGAAGAGTTATTGAACAAGAGCTGTCACAGGAGACAGCGAAGCTCGACTAATAAAATACTGGACGCAGTAAGGAGGACAAAACTATGAAAGAAAAATCCATTATGTATAATTATGTATTAAGTTATAGAAAAAAAATAACATTTGTTAACATTAATTCCAAGATCAAGGGGAATAATTCTAGAAATAGTCATCCTAGAGTTATGGACCTTGTCACACAACATTTGTGTAATGATAAGAAATATATATTTGAAGTTTGAAGTAGATACCTTAAAAAGTAAAGAAGTTATTATATTTCTTAAAGAAAATCCTAAGTTCAAAGACAGATAAATCTGTAAATATTGCTTCAAGAGTTATGAACATTGTCACATAAAATGTAATTGATGATAAGGAATAAGTATTTGAAGTTTGAGGTAGATACCTTTAAAAATAAAAAAGTTACAATAAAAAATAACATTTTTCTAGTAAAAAAATCTAAGTTTATGGAGAGATAATTCTTGAAATATTGGTGCTAGAGTTATGAACCTTGTCACATAAGATGTGGATGGTGATAACGTAAATATATTTGAAGTATGAAGTTGATCCCTTTAAAAATAAATAAGTAACAGTAAAAAATAATATTTTTTATGGAAAATTCTAAGTTCAAAGGGAGCTAAATCTAAAAATATTGGTGCTAGAGTTATGAACCTTGTCACATAAGATGGGGATGATGATAACGTAAATATATTTGAAGTATGAGGTTGATCCCTTAAGAAATAAAGAAGAAACAGTAAGAAATAGTATTTTTTGAGGAAAATTCTAAGTTCAAGGGGAGATAAATCTGAAAATATTGGTGCTAGAGTTATGAACCTTGTCACATAAGATGGGGATGATGATAAGGTACATATATTTGAAGTATGAGGTTGATCCCTTAAGAAATAAAGAAGAAACAGTAAAAAATAGTATTTTTTAAGGAAAATTCTAAGTTCAAGGGGAGATAAATCTGAAAATATTGGTGCTAGAGTTATGAACCTTGTCACATAAGATGTGGTTGATGATAAGGAACATATATTTGAAGTTTGAAGTTGATACCTTAAGAAATGACAAAGTTATAGTGAAAAATATTTTACTGCACCAAAACTTTAATCTAAAATCTGGACGCGGACGCCGACGCCGACGCCGGGGCGAGTAGGACAGCTCTCCATATACTTCGTATAGTCGAGCTAAAAATGCATTAAGAAAATGAATATAAACATTTGAAAGTATGAAATTGTACATTTTATGAGACAAACATGTATATATGTGATATTAAAACAATAGCTAGATTATTTGATGCCCACCAGAGAACCACCATTTAAGATAATTATTTTTGAATGTTTGTAAGTCGGAAGAATTACTTATGTTTAAAGGGAGGGAGTTCCAAAATTTTGAGCCTGAATATGATAGGGATTTTCTGCAGAATTCAATTCTTGGTTTGGGGACTAAAAGTAGCCTTTGTTCATATGATCTTAATGATTTATTTCCTGTATTTGTAAAAAGATTTATGGTTCTGGTGATTTAACAAGCTTGGTGGTACCAACAAACCAATTTCATATTTGTAAAAAAAGGCATAATTTTGTCAAAATCCAGGACAGAGTTATGTCCTCTTGTCTGCAAAATAAATGGTAGTCAACAGGCATTCTAAGTTTTAACACAGTAGACCTCTTGCAGCATAATAAAAGTAGAGCATTATAAAAAAGCTTCAACGAAAGTGTGGTGCTATCAATGATACTTTGTTAAGAAGGATAGCTCTTCATATAACGGTAACATTTTACAATAAATTTTTACCTCGTCAGGCATCGCATCTCAGCAACAGCAAAAACATTCGTCTTTTTTTTTTTTAGATTAGCACATTAAAATTTTAAAGTCAAATCTTGGCATTCTGAGTCCTCCTGTTCCGCTATCCTAGATAGCTAACAAGTAATCACCAATTTCTTTGCAAGGCACCAACTAACTACCTAATGATACAATGTGATTTCTGAATCAGTGGTGAGTGACAAAATAAATGACCATTTGACTTGATGTTCATGATCAACGGTCATGAACAAATTTCGCTACGCCGGAGGATCTAATCTATCACCCATGGATTATAAAGCCCAATTTCTTTCGATATTATGCTAAGCAAGGGGATTCCTAAAGAATGTTGCTATGCAGGGGTCATATATAAGTAGACATTTCCGGGTGTTGAAAAGTTATTTAAAAAAAACAAAATTTAAAAATTTTCAGATACTTTGTATTAGGAAATATAATAACCAATCCTGGAGATGTAGAATTTAAATAAAGGTTGGTAGATATTTATTCTGAGGAAATTTTAGCAAATTTTTTGTCAATTCGTGTAATTTGCCAATATTTCCATGGTCGCTAAACTTATCCATTTATACAGTATTATACATTAAAAATATAATATAGATAAGCTAAAAAAGTCTTTAGTTACCTGTCCCTGATATTATGTAGCTAGAGAAATTATGAAAGAAGTCTGTTATAATGATTGGTGGTGGCCACCATACGACCTCGAACACCTAGTTGTACAAGATTTTTGCTGACTGTGCAGTTCTTCTCCAGTCTGTCAATAACATACTGTAACCCTAAAAAAAAATTAAAGCTATAGTAAAAGCTGCATGCCCTCCAAAAAAATATTTTACAAAAATATAAATTTTGATCAGTGATTTTCACTAAATTTTAACCCCCTTTTGGTCGAGGGGTTTGAGTTGACTTTTAATCCATTCCTCTCTGGGTGGGTTGATCCCCCGGGGATGCTTTGGTAGTTTTTGCGCGGAGGAAGGGAACTAGTACTTTGGGGTAATCTCCCCCGGGAAAGAGGGTTGGAAACAAACCCCCTAAATGACTGAAATACTGTTGGGAAAAGGCGTTAAATGAAACAAACAAACAAACAAACACATATGTCTACTCTGCAGCAGCCACCATGAAAACAAAATCAAACTGAAATCCAGCCTGAAGTGAAATTAAACGACTCTTGCCCAAAGCATAGATCAATGCAATCTGTTAAGGCTCTTTACTATCAATAGCTAAATATCTATTATAATGGACCTGCCCATTTATCAATCTTTAAAAATCTGTTAAAAATTTGAAAATATGGAATGACTGAACAGCAAACAGTTACAGCCATAATTAAACTGGGCACCAATGTGCCAGCTGATATTGTTCTGCATTGGGTCAACAGGCTAAAGGTTAAGGAACAAATCCTCCAATGAACCAAAAAATATTGACTGTCAGGTAATAATATCTCACCACATATTATAAATTTTAATACTTGATTATGACAGTAAAAATTCCCTTATTTTCCCCTGTTTTTAATCATTGATATTTGTGTAGGTTCCCCCCATGGTTTATGGCCCCCGCATTTTTTTGGTTTTATTAGATCCATTCGCAGGGGTTTAGAGAAATTTCCATATAAAGCTGAAAAGGAACCCGGTTGCTCCACCCCATTATGTAACAGAACTTTCTCAATGCCGGCTGAGAACTGACCAGAAATACTGGGGGCGGGTTTTTTCTGGGGTAAGCCCCCTTTTTTGCCCGCCACCCCCCACCCGGGACCCGGAAAAATCCAATCAAAAATAAAAAATTTTTAAAAACACTACAATTTATACACTTTCCATGATTTTAAAACCCGAGAATGCTAAATTAAAAATTTTTAAAACCCGCATTTTTTCCATTTTCAATCTGGACCTTGCAGCTTTTTTGTAATATTAGCCAATTGGGCCCCAAAATTTCAGGTTCAAAATATCGTACAAAAAATTTAGTAAAGGGGCCCCGAATAATTAGTATTTTTTGGTTTTTTTTGCAAAAACAGAACAATTAAGTTTTTTAAAATTTTTGTATAAAAGGGATGGTGTTTAATGCTATTAAATTTTTAAAAAATTTCTATTTGTTAAAACGCCCCCAGTATTAACAGGGACATGGACCATTCTCAAGAAATACCCTTTTAGATTTTTTGGGGGTAATATTAGTGAAAATACAGATACAAAGGTGGGCCAAAATTCCCCGTTCTCTAAACTTTCCCCGGGATTTTTGTGCCCTGTTTAAGCATCATACAAGGGAAAATAGATTTTTAAAATTTTCATCGATAGACTGTGTTTTTGTAATTTTTAGTTGGCCGCAAAGGAATCCACAAACTTGACATTTAAACAAAGATCCAAAATTTCGTATATTAGTGATTTAGCCCTTTTCTTTATAAAATATTTGTTTCAAAAAATAAATTTTTCAAATTTTCCTTTTTTGGGGAATTTATAAAACCCCCATTCTCGAAAACTACAAGTTTTCACACCCCAAAACTAATTTTACTTAAAAAGCCAGCTGGCCTTTGGGAAAAGGATTTTGTTTCGATGAAAAAAGACAAAAAATTTTAAAATACCAACCTTTAAAAACTGATTTTTATGGATCACTGGTTTTTTAAAACAATAAAAACCCTAGATGTGATAAAAAGGGGTGGGGAGTGTCCATAAAAGAACCCCTTTCTTTGCATTGTTTTCACCTGCAAAATTTTTAAAATTTAAAAAAACATCCAAAATTAAAAAATTTTTTTTCCCAATGACTTTAACCCGTTAAAATTAACATAAACCTTTTTAACATTTAAAATTATATTTTTATCCCAGATATACCCCTATTTAGACAGTTATTGACAAATGCAATTTAAAGCATATAAAAAAGAATTATAAAAGGGTAACTTAAAAAAAACAAGTTTTCCCTACTTTTTTGAGTACTGATGTTGGGGAAAATTTTATTTGGGCAAGTTCAGCCTTTAAACCCCGTATTTTAAAAAATTGCAAGCTAAATCCGATTGGTTTTTCAAAATTTTTACAAAACCATTGGGAAAATCCGTGTTTCGGAAAACAAAGTTTTAAAGACTTTTTATTTTTAACCAGTACATTCCTTTACAAGTACTTTATCGTGACTTAAATTACAAATATTTCAAGAAATCAACATTCTTGGCTACTTGGCAACATTAAATATATTGGCAAATTGCCACTTGATTCAGTTCCGTCTGTTAAATTTACTATATATCTTATAAGACAAAAACCCCCGTTTAATTTAGGTTCTGAATTTACCTCCCTTGATTACCAATAATTCTGAAGGATCAATTTACCTCCCTTGATTATTAATAATTCTGATGGATCAATTTACCTCCCTTGATTACCCATAATTCTGATAGATCAATTTTCTTCCCTTGATTATCAATATTTTAAATGGATAAATTTACCTCCCTTGATAATCCATAATTCTGATGAATCAATTTACCTCTCTTGACTACCCATAATTTAGATGGACATATTTACCTCCCTTGATAATCCATATTTCTGAAATAATTTACCTCCATTGATTTACCAATAATTCTGATTTGGATTCCAAATTTAACCTCCCTTTATTTTCCAAAATTTTAAAGGAAAATTTCCTTTTCCTTTTATTATTTTTAAATGGATAAATTACCTCCCTTGATTCCCCATATTTAAATTTGATAGACAATTTTTTCCTTTAATTACCCCTAAACAAAATAGATAAGTAAACTTTTAAAACCCCAAGGGTGATTTTATTTTGAAAAAAACCTTTTTTCTACAAAAATTTGGATGGGCAAGAAAAACTTGACTGAATACTTTGATCAAACCTCTAAAAAAAAAACCATACCCTTTCCCCTTGGGTAACTGCTCTCCCGGGGCTTTAACCCCCGTCCCCTCCACAATATTCCAAAATCCTTTTTAGAAATAAAAAGTCCAGCGTAAACCCCCCGTTAAAAGAGGAAAACGCACCCCATGTTTTCCAAATGGTCAAAGCATCCCAAAGAACCTGTCAAAATTTCCATTTTAAAAATTTAAAATTAATAATAAATTTTTTAGCTTAACCCTTTTAACTGATCAAAAATTATATAAAGCAAATGCTTTTAAAGTATTACATAAATTTCTTTTTAAACTTTAAAAACAAAGTAAAATTTAAAAAAATTTCCAAAAAAAATGTTCCCCAACAAAGCCTTTATTTAAGGTTTTTACATAAAACTGAATTTTTATGTGAAAAAATTTTAAATTTTAGTAACCAAACCACCCTTTTTTCAAAGGCCCAAAATTTTTTTCCCAAAATAATTTTTACATTTTAAAGCTAATTTTTTCCTTTTTAAACCAAACACCCGTAAATTTGGGGGATCAGCCCTTTTAAAACTAATTTTGATTTAAAACATTTTTCAAATAAATAGATTCCTTCAACCACCCGATTACTATCAAAGCCATGTTAAAAAAAATCCACTTGAAACTTGCTCCATCATATTGCTATTATACCCATAAAAAAATTATACCAACCTTTTTATCTCCATCAATGAAAACTTCACCCTTATCTTTTCCAAAGTACAGTAATTCTTTTATTGACTTTATTTGGGTGCCATTTTCAGCGGACATGAACATGAATCCGTTTCTTGACCCACTTGTATTCAAATAAGTGCAAAGATTATCTAAAACATATAATTACGGTATTACCTCCCTTTATTATTGAATATCTTAATATCTTACCTCCCTTTATCCTATATTGTTTGTATGAAAAAATGAAAATATTAAATAGTTGGCTTGTCCTTAGAAAATGTAACAGTTTTATTATTATATAATCATGACTTAATTTTTAGATTTAGCTCTTTATTTCTGCTCCCATTCTGACCCCTGTATGAAACTTTGGCAAGGAATCTGGGCGGAAATGGCAGATAAATAGTCAAGAAAATCAATGACAATGTTGAGACTTTTAAGTTATTAGCCATAAGCCATAAAGCTTAGGTCAGAATTTCGCTCATGATAAACTTTTTTTAAAAATATTGGAAGTGGGACATGGTAAAATTTCACCAACTTTCATAGATAACTCGGGCTTCTTTTGCCTTGAAGTCCATAACTGTTCTCATAGTTTGCTGTGTAGTCCTGTTGTAGTGTAAAAAAGCTCCCCTGTTACCATGTAAATCATAGTATTCCATCAGATTCACTGTTCTGTTTTTCTGAGTAAAAAAAAATAAAAAAAGATTTTTATGATCTTGATCGTCACAGGGTCAAAGCATATGTGAAAAAGTTGAATATAATTAACAACCGCTTTAAGTCAGTGATTTTCCAACAACTCCATAAAAAGGCCTCTTCCCAATTGAAATTTCCCCCAAAGCATTAAAAGCCCAATTTTTTCGACTTAAAAATCCCTTAAATTATAAATTCCCTTTCCAAATCTGTCAATAAAATTAAATTTTTTGAAAGAAAAATCAATGGGAAAATTTAGGGGTAATTTTAAATTTTGAATTTTTAACCAGTTCTTTTTAAACTTTATACAAATGGGTGTATCTTATAATAAATTGAAGTTTTGATATCAATTGACAATTTTTCATACCTGTACAATGTTTGCTTCAATCACCGTCTGGAACTGATCCGGTAAAACCGGAAGTGGTGGACCGGTGTAATCTGTAGGCTGACTATTACAAGGTACAAGACTTTGAATTTGACCTTTGACCATCAGGACAAAACTGACCAAAGTGCACAGTAGACACAGCTTCATATTTCATGGGGGGGGGGACTCAACTAAAAAAGAACAACAATTATTTCTGTCGAAAAATTAAAAAGATCTTTTATTTGCCAAATATCTTAACCTGTAGTAAAGTAAAATTTAACAATTAATTAACCTTAAAGTAATACATATATTAAAAGTCATAAAAATATTTTCCCAATTTAAAATCATAGGGATGTTTTCCCAAATTGAAAAGAAAGCATTGTTTTAACTGCCCTCTAAAAGGCAAAGAGGGGTTATTAAAAAATTTTCTTTTTCAATTCCCAAATTTTCTTAAAAGGAAAACTAAATTTACTTCAGGAATTCTAGCTAGTTTACTTACAGGAATTCTAGTTTACTTACAGGAATTCTAATTTACTTACAGAAGTTCTAAGCTAGTAAATTTACTAAAAGGAGTTCTAGCTAGTTTACTTAAAGGAGTTCTAGTAAATTACTTACAGTTCTCGTTCACTTACAGGAATTCTAGTTTACTTACAGGAATTCTAGTTTACTTACAGGAGTTCTAGCTTAAGTTTACTTACAGGATTTCTTGTTTACTTACAGGAATTCTAGTTTTCTTACAGGAATTCTAGTTTACTTACAGGAGTTCTAGCTAGTTTACTTACAGGATTTCTTGTTTACTTACAGGAATTCTAGTTTACTTACAGGAATTCTAGTTTACTTACAGGAGTTCTAGCTAGTTTACTTACAGGATTTCTTGTTTACTTACAGGAATTCTAGTTTACTTACAGGAATTCTAGCTAGTTTACTTACAGGATTTCTTGTTTACTTACAGGAATTATGGTTTATTTACAGGAGTTCTAGTTTATATACAGGAGTTCTAGTTTACTTACAGGAGTTCTAGTTTATTTACAGGAATTCTGGTTTAATTACAGTAGTTCTAGTTCAATTACATGAGTTCTAGTTAACTTACAGGAATTCTAATTTACTAACAGGCGTTCTAGCTAGTTTACTTACAGGAGTTCTAGTTTACTGACAGGAATTCTAGTTTACTTACAGGAAGTCTAGTTTACTTACAGGAATTTTTATTTACTTACAGGGCTTCTAGCTAGTTTACTTACAGGAGTTCTAGTTTACTTGCATGAGTTCTAGTTTACTAACAGGAATTCTACTTTACTAACAGGAATTCAAGTTTCCTTACAGGAATTCTCATTTACTAACAGGAGTTCTAGCTAGTTTACTTACAGGAATTCTAGTTTATTTACAGGAATTCTAATTTACTTACAGTTAGTTCTAGTTTACTTACAGGAGTTCTAGTTTACTTACAGGAATTCTAGTTTACTTACAGGAATTCTAGTTTACTTACAGGAATTCTAGTTTACTTACAGGAGTTCTAGTTTACTTACAGGAATTCTAGTTTAACACCGTAATGTTTATAATTTAAAATTATTTTTTTTTAGTAGGTAAGGTAATACATTTTTTGGGAACCTGTGATTAGGAACAATATTTTATTTAAGTCAAGCTAAAAATCATCAAGTAGGCATTTAGTATTATTATAAACAATACACATCAAAATTGTATTATGTTCATTCTAGAGATCAGAACAAAATTGAGCCGCGTTATGAAAAAACCAACATAGTGGGTAATTGCGACCAGCATGGATCCAGACCAGCCTGTGCATCCGCGCAGTCTGATCAGGATCCATGCTGTTCGCTTACAAACCCTATAACAAGTAGTGAAACTGATAGTGAACAGCATGGATCCTGATCAGACTGCATGGATGTGCAGGCTTGTCTGGATCCAAGCTGGTCGCAAACACATTATGTTGGTTTTGTCATGACATGGCTCATATATAATTCATACATTATAATATTTATATACAGGCTGGTGAAAATACCCAATCAGACTTATGACATAAAAACTCATATCTATAGAACAATAATAAAGATATTTCTTTTAAACAAAAAATATGTATTATATAAATATGAAAAAGTAGAAATACATAGAGGATATTCAAGTTTTTTCTATAAATACATGATTTATTTTCATCGAGTGGTATGAAAATAAATATTTCATGAGTGGCGGTAGCCACGAGTGAAATATGGTAATTTTCATGCCACAAGATGAAAATAAATCATGTATTTATAGAAAAAAACTTGAATTTTCTGTTTATTATATACATTTTTCTCTTTTTGCGATAAAATTTGAAAGACTTTTCCTTAAATTTTGTGTACTGGAAGAATTTAAAAGAAAGTAGTCCGGCAAGACACCAGTGAAAATACGAAAATACGGAAAATATGTTTCACTGCAGTGAAAAATAAATTTTTACAGTGAAAATACGGAAAATGAAAATACGCATTTTATTTCATCAATATTTCTCAATATTTCATTTATAAGTATATAATAAAATGTAATTCTCACAAAAGTTAAACAGTAACTATATATCATCCTTTCTGTTTATTTCATACATTATGCTCAATGATCAAAGTTTAAAAAAAATAATTTTTTATTAATTTTCTAGAAATATGATCGAGGTAATTTAAAGAAATAAGTCTGTTAAATTGTGTCATCCTAAATTGAAATATAGACAATATGCTATATGACAGCTCCGATTTGATATTTTTTTAAGTTGACAAAGGGCACTAAATCTGTCAGATCAAGTTACGGGCTTCAAATACAGCAAAAGTTTATATATTATAAAATGATAACATGATTGCCAATCAACAAAATCAATACATTTTACTGTAGAAATTATGTACAAAAGTTAAAACCAAAAGTAAAACAGGAAGGTTATTTTTCAAAATTTAGTCAACACGTAACATTTTGTTTAAATTTCAACAAACTCATATTTAATCATAAAACGTAGTGTTCATTAAGTTTACATAAACAAAACAAATAAAAACATTCAAATTTAAATGATAAAACTTGGTTTACCTTAATGTTTACACGGCCATATGCAAAATGTTGGTCATGTGACAAAAATATACAGGTATGACTACCCGTCCAATTTTTCGGGTATTTCCGTCAACCGTCGGAACCTCACGTATATTCTGAATATGTCGCGCGATAAACTTTCCCTGAGCTAATGACGCTTTCAACTTTCACATTGTCTAACATTGATAATATTATTACGCCACAGCTTGAATTGCCATGAAAGTCAAGATTATACAAAGAAGTAACATTTGCAGTTTTGATTAATGTATATATCAACTAAGCGTGATTAAATTTCAAAAATCAAACCCAATCACGTGCAGCACGAGAAAATGATGCTAGATAATATGCCGGAAATGCCAATATAGAAATATGATCGAGTCCGTCAGAATCTCTTTGAGTGACAGGGAGACACAGGCAAATTTTTTATTTCTTCGTTTTGAATTTTTATTCATTATTCAAAATGAATACACTATAGGCCTGCAGTCACTCTCATTACAAAGTATTATATTTTTGGCTTGCAGCCACGGCTGCAAGCCATTTCATATGGAAAACTTGTTCCGGTTAGGTGGTTTCCTGCTTACATCTGTTGGTGCATGATTGAACGGGTAACCAGCTGCAATCGTGCCAATCGCAACCTTTCGGCCTTTTCCGTCACTTTTCGGATTAATGATAATAGCCGATGTAGTTCCGATTGCAATCGTGACAATTCGGGCGATTCCGTCATACTAAGTAATATAACGGAAATCTAAGCTATTTTAGTTACTTCGGTAATCCCAGTTTGTTTATATAAATAGGATTTCTATTTTTACTTGATTACCGTAATAAATTAAAACGAAATTGTTCCGTTTCAATTGTTTTTCAAGACGCAAAAGTTAGTTTCTTTTATAATTGTTTTTTGTCTGTATCAGTTTTCATACAATAGAGAATGGTAGTAGTATTCCGTCTTCAAAGGGTGGTCCTGCATGATCGAGTTATATTTAGATCTACTGAACTGGTGAGGTAATCTAAAAATAGCCCGTGCATATCATTAACCTTGCCACATAGCGCATCGTCTATTTGTGATCGTGTAACATAGTTGATACATGTATGCTTCTTAATTAGTGCATTTACTTGTCTATAAAGCAAAGGAATGATTTCGCTGCGAAAAAGGGGAAATGAAATGTGCACACTTGTTTTCCTTCAGACTTCAGTATCACGTTAGTATTTTACGATTGATCATTTTCTTTATTAGTTTTATACAATAGAGTTAATTTTAAGAGAACTAAATAAACCCTTTATGATATACAAATACCGTTATTCAAAAAAAAAAAAATGTGATAATAAATTGAAACAAAAAAAAACAACCCATTTTAAAGGGTTGGGATGAAGGCGCAACTGTGCAAGCCTTTCCTTTTAAAAGGAAACTTTATAGTTTTTTAACTTGATGAAGGTCAGATGAATGGCTTCGACTTGTTTCGATCATAAAATATCCACAATATCAATTTATTCTGTTATTGTAACTTCCAGTTTTTTTCAAGTCACATTACTTGTTTTAAAACAACTCGGTGATTCTTTCGGCTTCAAAAATACGTTCAACATACATATATATATATTTACGCTGCAAACCCAAAATATATAGAATTTAATACAGAAATTAATCATGCTGGGATTTTTTAAAATAAAATGTCATTTTAGCGTGATTAGAGTTCATAAGATCATTTTAATATTTTTGTCATAAATTTGCCTGGGTATCTCTTTAATTATGACGTTTCGTGTTAAATAGAGAGATATAAAGTTAACAGGAAACTTTAAACTGGAGCAGAGAAATGTCGCAAATTTTGCATTTTAAAGGATAATAACATTTTTTTAAAGGTCACCCTCCTTCTTGTTAAGCACTTTTCTCCTGAAAGTGCCACTTCCTTTTTTAGGTCGTTTTCAAAATCTCAAAATCAAGTGTTTCGTAATCTTTACTGTGCATACTTACTGTATTTTCTTTCTCAAAAATTAGATTTCTTGGAAGAAAATGTCTATCATTTCAATATCTTTCAACTAAAGAATGAAATCAGTCAAGTAGAAATTCAGATAGTGTCTGCTTCTTTTAGTTAAGGCATCAAGTACTTTTGTTATGTTTATTCGACTGTAATTTTTTGTATATATTTACATGATCATGATTTGGCGTGCGAGGGATACTCAGGTAAATTAATGACAACAATATTGAATGGATCTTATTCTTATGTACTCAAATCACGCTAAAATGACATCTTTTAAGGTTCCAGCATTAATTTCTGTGTAAACAGTCACCGGGTTGTTTTAAAACAAGTCATGTGACTTGAACACAACCTTGAAGTTATTATAACAGATATTGTGGATATTGTATGATTAAAACATGACTAAGTCATTCGTTTGACACATTCTTTACGTTTTCAGAGTTCATTGTGATAACAATTGTGAAATATTAACGCTCTAACCTGACCCACGTGGGCACCATTTTATTCTTTATAAGGAAAAAAGTTTTGTTCTTGTAACTGCCTAGTGTATTCTTTTTGAGAATATTTACAGAATAATTACTGAAAACTTCAAAATGAAGAAATGAAAATGTTGCATGTGTCTCCCTTTCAACTACACAGTGGTTTTATTACTATACTGTTCTGACCCGTCATATGAACGTTGTGTGCATTGTTACATGTCACCAATGCAGTTTGTAACTATGTTGACACGTTCTGTCCTATCGTGTTGATTTGTCGTCAGCGGTATTTTCTTTCCATTCCTCCTCATTTCTAATTCTGTGCCTTGCCCCTCCCCTCCTTCCTTACACTCCAACCTTGTCCATTTAATTCCCTTTTTAATTTCCTATCATATCACTTATGGAAGTGTCGATTGTGTTAGTTCTTGACATGTCCTCCACCCTTTCTCCAACCTTGTGCCCTCTCCTGTTTTTTGTTTCGTTTTTTTTCTTTCTATCTCTCTTTTGGTACGGTGTCCATTGGGTTAGCAAATAGGTTTCATTTAAAACATCGAGAGGTGTAACAATTTTATTAATAAGATATTTTTCTGTAAATGATCGGTAAACTTTAGTTTTCTGGTTAATTTTGCAAACCTGTAATTGCACACTCATCAAGTCTGAGTTGTAACTGTCAAATTATTAGTATATGCTAAAAGGCGTAGAAGGAATTTAAACACTCGATGGAATTATTTGTGTTATTTTGTATGTATTTTAATTTCTTTTATTTATTCTCAAATTCTCAGTCGTGCTTTTAAATTAATACATTGTATCTAGTATTTGCAACTATTTTAGTGATGCTAGCTAGAACTATATTCGTCATTTATTGGGATATGATTTGAAAGAAATGAATGTAATATACAATACTGACAAACCATATATAACTTTAGTTAATTGGTATTTATTTTTATTTGCATTCTTTCTATGCTTGTTCTCATATTTACATCTTAATGTTGGGGGTACTATATTTACGCTTGAATGATTTCTTTTTCATAAATATTATTGCACACTTCAAGTAATAATTAAACTAATGTGTTATATATGAGTGCGGCATGGTATCTGGAATCTTTTGTATTTGAGGTACTAAATTATATTGTATACAAAAAAAATGAAATCTTTAGTTAAAAGGATTGTGTCACAGATCTCATTTTAGTTTAAGATATTTGACGGCTTCGTCGTTCTGTCTTTGCTTTGGACATATTTGGTTTTTCAGAAAATGCTTGATCTTGCAAACTTGAATCGGCTAGTATTGCAGTTTTTTGTTGCTAAGGAACTTGTTAGTAAGCATGTTAACTCAGTCTTGCAAGCTGGTGGGGTCTTGAGCGTTATATACTTCTACAGGGGTAGTAGGGAAGTTTCTGAATATGTAATTACATAATTATTATTACATAGTTGGTCGTATAAAAATGTGCTATACATAGATCTATATATATTTGTTGTGTTTGTTTTCATGGCTACTGTATGGGTTTGGCTTGATACGTGATTAATATTACATCTGTAATGATTATTGTGCTCAGATGCGAACAAACAAAACTTTTTTGATTTGTGTCGGTTAATAATAAAAAAGACAGTCTATTTGTAAAACTTATAATCCTCTACAAAAGTACGTAGACCTCATTCCGTTTCAATCGTGCAACTTTTCGCGTTTAATTTATACTTCCATTCATATTAAACCGGAAATAGTATTTTCAAAAACAACAACAAATTTTATATCTCGTGTAGGGTTATTTGCAAACTTATTTCAAGTGTCACAAGACATTAAGAATTTAATGTTGACTTCATATTTGTTACAGACTCTGAAAGTTATTCATGTGAAAAATTAAAAAAGATTGAGTTGACACGTAAGATGATATTCATAATCAATTTAATTTAATCTGCTAATTAGTCGCCACCATTACCTGAGCTAGTCCTATAAATATGACGTCGCTTTGAGATATTTTTGCTTCTGGGCAAAGCAACGTCATATCGAAATTGCTCAAAAACCCATAGCATGTTCCGCCAGAAAATCGGGCGGAACGAAAAACAATGAAGACAGCGTGTATTTACATAATTGTTGACCTATTTATGAACAAAACTAAAAAATAAATACCTTTTGTCAAAATAATTTAACTGTCACATCCGAAAAATCATGATTAAATCCTTTCATGTATTTCAATTCCTTTTACAGCCGATAAACAAATGGCGGCCGTAAAGTGCGCGAAATCTGATTGGCTAATTCAAATGCAAGCGTTTTACTGAGTCAGAACAATTAACGGAATATTTTTTTAACGAAATAATTGCCCATGCACCTTCAGTGAGTTCGAATATATTTTTCCGTTCAAAAATTTGGAATCAATCTGTAAAGCACCTTGCTTAACCAGTATGGCTGATAGACAAAAATAGATTGATGTTTATATTTTATTTTAAATTGATAAGTACATCGTTTGAAAGTTTTTGTGTATGATTGAGCATGAAATTGAAAGAAAATATGATAATCTTTTGAATAAAGCTTGAAAGGCAAGACAATAGACATTTTTTGATTTTTTTATGATGCTACGCGTTTTTGAGCAATAACTATTAGACGTCAGGCTTGACCGACAAAAACTATAACAAGCCTGTAACGTCTAATATATTGGACTATACCTGAGCCAAT